GCTGGGCTCAGCCCCCCGGGGTTTGTGTCCTGGGTGCCCTTTGTCTTCACTTGCGGAGGGAGAGGGCACCTGTGTCGTGGCTCGGAGCAGGCGGGCTGGAAGGGGCCTCCAGCCTGCTTCAGCGGGACCAACTATCCCCACCGCCCCCTGCAAGCCCAGGTCTGGCCTCTGCACGTCTGTCCTGCAGCCCCCACACAGCACAGACCTCGCACGCTGCCTGCCCCAGGGCAAGCAGGGCAGCCGCAGCACAGCAGCCAGCGTCCTGCTCCTGTGAGCTGATGCCGTAATATGTGCTCACCAGGGACCCTGGAAGACCCTGTTGGAGCAGTTGGCCAAAGCCAAGGTGGGAGACTCAGCCGTGTTGCCAACTCTCATGATTTTTGGCATTGTTCTTCAAGTCTATGCTTCAGGAGTGTGAAAAACTTCGCCCTTTCTTGTATTTGTTTATTGATGTATCTATTTATTTACATGCATACATACATACATACATACGTATGTGTACGTGTATATGTATATACACACATGTACATACATATATGTGTCTATACATGTACACGTATACATATGTGCATGTGTACATGTATACGTATGTGCGTACATGTATACATGTACATATACGCGTGTATATACACCAAATGTGTATACATACGCGTGTATGTGTATATATGTATGTGTGTGTGTGTGTGTATAAATAAATAAAAGAGCTACATTTTTCACATTCCTGAAGCATAGATTTTAACAATGCCAAAAATCATGAGAGTTGGCAACACTGCAAGAGGTGAGGTAGTCTGAAAGCCATCTCTTTTACTCAACCAACTGTGTAGTGGTGAGAAAGTCAGGCAGGCTTTCCCATGCAAGACATCCTAACCCTGGAAAGCTTGTCTGACTCTACCCCAAATACAGTCGAGCCCATAAAAGACTGCCCTAAGAAATCGTGGCTTCTCACAGAGTTTCTGGACCATCACAGCTACCATGTCACTCTCACTCTACCAAAGGAAAGAAGCTTTCATAGGTGTTTCTCAGTAGGATGAAAAACAAGAGGCACCTCCCCTAGGGATAGTATTGCCTGCTGGGGTAACAGTGCTCATGGGGAGCTGAGGACGGTGTCTGTCACAACATCCATGCTCCAAACATTGTATAGAATCATAGAAAATTAGGGTTGGAAAGGACTCAACTAAATCATCCCAGCCACGGCTTTGTGTGCCATAGCTCCATGTTGTTAGCAGGGTTTCTTTCTAAAAAAGGTGGTGTGTGACCAGTCTTCTGTCTACAGTTAATGCCTTGTGTGCCAGTATCTCTTCACAATGAGTGAGATTTAAAAAAACAAACAAACCCACTCACTTGTGTGTGTAAATCTGGAGTCAATCTATTGGCTGCAGTAGATGCACTCCAAATTTACGTTGTGGCTAAGATCAGTATCTGGATCAAGCTGAAAAATCAAGGTCCAAGAAAAAATCCCAGTCCCATTTAAACCTATGGGAAAATGTCTGTTGCTTTAATGGGATGAAAGCTTTGCTTTACAGATGAGGGGACTGGCAGATTGCTTTGTGCATTTAATAGAAAATTAAATGTCTACTCTGAGGTCCTAGATTAGTGCTGCTCAAAATTCTGGCCCTATGGGCCAGGTAAGTGATACAGGGCCCATCTGGAATTATGTTGTACTCCTATACTTTTAGAAAAGACTACAGGACTGTCTTGAACCGAGGGCCTCTGCTTTTTCCTAAGTCTATATTATTAGCCTGAATGGCCAAAAAAACAGAGGGAGAGCATGTTTTATTAAAATAAGAAATGGATTATCAAAAGTAGGGAGTGAGACTTAAACAAAAGCAGGGACTAAGATATTAAGGAGGCTGCCCATATTCTACTAATACTGAAACAAGTTAGGCAAATCAAAACATGAATACAAATATTGTGTGCAATCTTACCCTTTAGCATAGATATACTTCTTAATAATGATAAAACTGAAGCTAGGTTAAATCCAGCTTAATGAGCTTCTACTATCACAATAAGATAATTTTGTATAGTCAAAATTTGATTTTTGGAATACATTCTTAAAGTTCATAGGCAAAATGTCTAGTTTAGCTACATTTCTAGTTTAACTTCACAGATGGCTCAGGGATATACTTGAGTTGATTTCTCTTGTCTAACAGGCTAAGAAGGTTAGAAGCTGTGAATATTTAGGTGGTTGTATCCAGCAAAAAGCTAACCACTCTTTTTTTTATCTCTGGGAAAACTGAATAAAAACTACATCTTCCTAGTCCTCCTCTGAGAGAGACAGCGTATGTATGTGAAGAACACTGAGGATAAAAATAATAGATGAAATGCATCAGGCTCCATAAGGTCCTTTATAAGACAAATATATCCTTCTTCCAAAAGTTATTCATTTATGGGCACATCTACACCCAGCCCTATAGCAACATGCTACATTGCCATATAGTGCACTGTGGCGAAATTTAACTGTGTGCCACACACACAGTGCAGTAACTGCCCATACTGTGCCATGCTTTAGTACTTCCAAAGGGAAGTACGATACCAAAAGGAAATACTAAAGTACAGTGCCATAGCAACATTGTCATACAGCAATTCATAGATGCGCCCTATGTTTAGAAATAGTTCTCCTAAGCTTAGAAGTCTGATAAGAAAATAGTTATATAAATATGGGTCATTACTGATGCTGTCTGATCTAGGAATGTAGACTGCTCCAAGTCTTGTGTCTCTTGAGTCCATTGTTTTGGTCTGTAAGTATGTGGGCCTGAGCAGTGCAGTTTGCATCCAGATACTTTGGGAGGGAGTGAGAAGAGTTTAGACTAAGTTTTTCTAATTGGTCAATCTCTGTGCATAACTGGTCTGGGCTGAAGTCCCTACCCAAACTGCTCTCATTGTAGATTTAGTAAGGACTTTCTCAAATCTTTTGTTCAGTATCCTGTTACCAAATCCAGCTTGTCTTACTTTTGTGAATATAGCTACTAACTTCACTGTGACTTTTTACATAAGTAAAGCAAGTGAGGTTAGGCTGAATACATACTTTATATCCCAACAGTACTGAACAATTTGGGCCCAATCCTACCGTCATTTAAATTGTGTACATTTGGAGAGACTTCACTGCTTTACACAAGTATAAAAACAAGAGATGAGCATCTGAGAGGACATTCAAGCTAGTATGTTAATATTTACATGATTTTGAAACTGGAAAAGGAGAATTCAGCCAGAGGAAAAAAAAATGTGTAATATCCTGGCTTTATTAAAAGTTAATGGTAAAATTTCCACTGGCTAGGAATTTCATCCTATGTTTGATCTTTTTGGGATGCTTTTAGGATCTTTTAAATTCAAATATAAGCAGACTGATTTTAGGGGAAAAACTGCTTATTCCCAAGATTATTTTGAGGAATGACATACATTTCCAACCACTCAATATTTTGGGCTTGATTGTGGCATGATGGTGATATTCAAGAGCCAAGCTGTTAGCTGGAAGAGTCTCCAATGAATACAGGGCAAGTGCACACTATGCAACATCCCTCTCCGCAGCTTGCTGTACCATACCAGCCAGTATGGGGGTTTCATACCATACCTTGCCTCCTTCCTATATCATCTGGAATACCTTGAACCTCCCAGTGTACTGGGGTGTGTTCCTTGCGTTTTTACACAAGTTGTATGTACAATCTAGCTTTTCGTTGTGTGAGGAGGTGTTCTAAATGGCCACTGATTCTCTTAAATCAACTACTTGATATGACAGTTCTTTCATATAAAAATCAATTTAGTTAATTTATGGACAAACTCTAATCTGATAATGAAGGTTAGATACTACTTTTACAGCCAAAATACAATATCTGTTTTCTAGATTCAGTATAGATTTACTTGATAAGGGAACAGTTTCTGCTTATCTATTGTTATAGCTCTTGAGGGAACCTTTTATATAACTCCACACCTAATTTGGCAGGCTAGCCAATTACAGCAAGTGACTATAAAACTTATCTCAAGTGTTTTGTAAGAAGACAAACATAATCAGATTGTAGGGTATATACTCTGTACTTTTTTCCACTTGCTGTTACTACAGGGCCAGAGTCTAAAACTTTCACTCATATGCAGAAGCATCTTACTCTACAAGTTGAACCACTGACTTCGGTAGATGTGCTCATAATATAAGGCATAAGTAGAGGGGCATCAAAATCTTGTCCAGTGTGAAATACTCAGTAAACTTAATTGATGATGAATAAAAAGCTGGATTTAATGCCAGAAGACATAAGTAGGAGTCAATAAGAATGTACCTCATTTAGGCCTTTATATAGCCTACCTAGACCTTGGGCCTGTTCATATAGGAAAGGCTTGACATTAGTAAGTTGTGGCTGGCATATATGCTTGGAGCAAGAAGAAGCAGAAAAAGCATTGTTGGTCAGAGATGTTTCTAAATCAGAACACCTTCCAGGGTGGAGTGATGTATACACCATCCCTTGTTCAGAGTTGTACCTAAAGTCACAATTTAGACCGTTGTCAAAGGGGTAGGGGGAAGAAATGCTTCAGAACTGGGTACAAACCAATAACAATTAATTGGTGTAAATGCTTTGAGAACACACAATAAAAGTAGGTCCCAAACCTGCAAACACTGAGACTAGTGATTCTCCACCAGAGTGCTATGGTACTCTGGGATGCCTCAAAATTCTTCCAAGGCTGTTGCAGAGTGCTATGCAATGTTAACATTGTTGGGGGTGAAAACATGAATCACATGCCTTTTGGATGAAGGGGTGGTGAGTATTAGATGTATGCCTCCAGGTTAAGAAGTATACAGTATCTTGCTTTTAGTTAGACTTCTGACAGTCATACCTGAGGTTCTCAAAAGCAAATGAGGGAATTATGCTGTAGCTGCAATTTCTATCAGGTGAGTGTGCAACTGATTGAGAATCCAAAATAGTTATCAACAGGTCACTGTCAAGTGGCAGGACATTTCAGATAGGGTCATGCAGGGGGCTGTCCTGAGTCCAATAAGTACTTCAATATTTTCATTAATGGCTTGGATGATGGAAGAGGGAACCCATATACAATTTGCAAATGGCACCAAGGTGAGTCAACAGTGAAAAAAGGCAGTTATTCTAGGGTGCATTAGCAGGAGTATTATATGCAAGTTACAGAAGGTAATTATTCTGCCATACTTGTTGGCGTTGTTGGTGCCCCAACTAAAGTATTTTGTCTAGCTTAGTTTGCAGTAATGGAAACTGAAGGTAAATATTAGGGAAAACTTTCTAACTCAGAGGATGTTGTAACAGATTACATACTGAGGATTTTAAGAACAGATTAGACACACTTCCATGGAGGGGAGGCGGGGGTCAGCATTCTTGGTCCTATCTGAAACTAGGCGGTGGGTCAGATGACCTATCTCTTTAGATCCCCATCAGTTCTACATTTCTATGAATCTATGATAATATTGCCAGGAGAAATGGGGCCAGACATTAGGAAATTAAAGAGGTTGGTGCAGTAAATATTTTGCTACATACTACTAGAAAGATGTTTATATAGCATATTCAAATATAAAATACTTATCTTTGAAGTTCCTCTGTGAGCTAAATATGGAAATATAACTCTCATTTTATTGCTGATGATACTGAGACAGAGAGGTCATGGGACTTTTCTGAGGCCTCACAAAAGTCTGCTGTCCAGATCATATGTCAGGCTGCTCAGTGTAGGAGTTAGCAGACATGAAACACTTCAACTATAATATTTTGGTTTATGACAGACAAGTGAAAGAAATGACATTGGAATTTGGGAGTTCTTGGTTTCTAGTCCCAGGTGTAGTACATTAGAAAAGTTTTGTTCAAAAAGAAAAGGCTTCTCTTTTGGTAAGTTTAAAATACTTTGGTGCCACACAAATTTGACTGAAGGATTTAAAGAAAACATAGCAAGTATTAGCAGTGTAATACTGTTTGTTTTTTTAATTTAGTATAGTTATGTACAAATCTAGCAGTAGCATTTGTTGCTCTTATTGACTGTTTTGACTTCCTTTTATCTTAAATAGTTTATCATTTTTATTGGTTAAAAATTAATCAGCTGTTTCTCTACTCTCACCCCATCTCATTTTCTATTTTGCATCTCAGTAACAAGTAGAAAGAGAGAGGTGGAGGTAGGAAGATGTTTTAATTCATATGATGTTTCATATTTCTGTATTGGATTTGGCTTAGTTTAGTACAGCTGTAAAGTTTTTTAAAACAGAAGGCCCAGGTTTAAAAAAAGATGCTCAGAGTTAGATTCCTAGGTCCATATTTAGGCACTTGAATAATTATCTGATTTTTCTGCTTGCTGAGCACCTATAACTTGCCACCAATTTAACTGAGAGCTGTTGGATACTTAGCACTTCAAAATAAGGCTATGCCTATGGATTTAAGACCCCAACATTGCACAGGAATTTTTGAAAGCCTTTGCCTAAGTCTGATATAAAAGGCTTTTTTATGAACCAAAACAATATGGTTTATTTTTTGTCTATAGGGTTTTTTTAATATTTTAATTCCCAGTGGAAGGCAAATTAAAATGTTGGAGCCCTGCCTCCTTCTCCCATGAAATTTCTGTGTAATTTATCCAGATGCTGCGCAAGCTGTTGTTCAGCTTTTATCATGGTGGCTCTATCCCCCTCCAGAGCTTGTCAGTACCTTTCCCACACAGCTGGTGTGTCTACACAAAATGCTTTATCGCACAGTAGATTGGTCAGCCACACCAGCAGGGGGCCCAGTCCTGGCACTGCTCAGCAGTCAGCTCCCCCAAGGAGTTGGGAGCTGATCAGCGTGGGGACCAGGTTCCTCTTTGCCTTCCCTCTCCCATCCCAGTGCCGTGGGGCTCTTGGCTCCCCACAGAAGCAGAGCTGGGACTTGGAAGCTCTTCCTTCCTCTGCAGCTTAGTCAGGGGCTTGCTGCTAGCTGCCCCACTGACTGACCAGGGCAGGGG